AGAATTCCCATCTCATCGTTATATGGTAAATCGGAAGTATAACATATACAAAATACAGTATATACTTGTCCGGAAAGTGGATTTCAAGATAGGCAACATATATAGGGGTTGTCACAATAATATTGATCTCGCAGCTCTAGGCACGTGTAGTTTATGTCACATTATTCTGAAAGTTGCTTATCCTTAAGACAATATAGCCGAAAGTGTAACTTCTTATTGAAATTTCCAGATTGTAGGAGTTTTTATTATGGCAAATTTATTACGTTCAATACCTTCTTCAAATCTATATATAGTAGATATTAAAGAAATTATACTAAATGGGATTAAAACATGGTTAAAACTCCAAAATAGGACTTCAAATTTTAAATTGCCTAAATGGGACTCTAGATTACACTTTCCCCTTCTGCAATTAAAACCCCAATCTCTCGCCCCCTTCTGCAATTCGCCAGCCACACACATGCGCAACACATCGTTGGCCCCCTTCTACAATCTACGATAGAATTCATTGTAGCAGCAGCAGCTCGGCACATCCCTTGACAGCAGCTCCACCATCGACTATGGCCACGCACCGCAACTCCACCGTCAACCACAGGTCTTCTTCTTCTTCTTCTTCTTCTTCTTCTTCTTCTTCTTCTTCTTCTTCATTGTAGCAGCAACAGGTCGGCACATCCCTTGACAGCAGCTCCACCATCGACTATGCATGGCCACGCACCGCAACTCCACCGTCAACCACATGTCTTCTTCTCCTCCTCCTCCTCCTCCTCAAATTGCTGGTCCTCTGTTATCTTCTTCTTTAGATTTTTTGGCCACTTGTATATAATGAGAATGTCAAAATTATTGGTTATTTGAAAAAAAACAAGTGTCACGCTTGTGACATTACATTTACCAAAATGACAATCTAAAAATGTCACTTTTGTTTCGAAAATGTCACTTTTATTACTCTGGAAATGTCACTTTCTTCTTTGAAACTGTCACCTTAGCAAATGTAATGTCATAAAAGTGACATTTTTAATTTCCAAATAATGTAATGACATAAAAGTGACAAAGGATCTGCCCTCCATGAGGAATGACACTTGATATGCGAGAATGTCACTTAATATGCATAATGAAACAATAATGAAACATGACATTCTCAATATGGCATTTCTAAATATTGTCATGACATATATAAAAGTGACATTTGTAAAAATACCCAAAAATTATGACATTCTCTTATTCAAAAAGTGACAGTTTCTGGAATCATTAGTCAGGGAATTTTGAGATTCAAAATTGATAATAAGAAATTCAAGTTCAGATTTATCTTCATTTGAAACTTTCAAAAATTAAAATTTAAATAAACAATTGAAATCTAAAGAGGAAGAGAACAGAGGACCCAACATCGAAGAGGATGAGAAGAAGAAGAAGAAGAAGACCAGAAAAAGAAAAGATGAGGAGGAAGAAGAGGAAGGAGGAGGAGGAGGAGAGGGGAGGAAGAAGAGTACCTGGGTAAGCAGTCGAGGCCACAATCGACGATGGTGATGAGTGTGGTGCTATAGAGATTCAATTTTGCCGTCTGAGGAAGGATCGAAGCGATTGTGCGTCGGTGGTGTGCGTCTGTTTTTAAATTAAGGGTAGTTTTGTCAGATTATCTCTTTTTTGTCCTATTTTTGTCAAATAAAAATTAGTAGTCCTATTTTTGCAATTCTACCTTGTTGTAGTCTTATTTAGGTAAATCACACTAGATATATATTATACTTCCTCTGTTCTTTTTTAGTTGCAACATTCACTTTTTCACGTTTGCCAATGCACTATTTTGACTGTCATTATATTTAATTTTGTATTAGTAAAAATAATTAAAAATAAGATTATGAAACTTTATATTGAGACAAATTCAACAATCTTTTTCAAAAAAATAATAGTTCACATACATTAATAAATAAAATGTAATCAAAGTAGAGTACCTGAATAATGTTTAATTTGCAATGTTGCAACTAATGCGATACGGAGGATAGTATGTGGGTACGTATTACGTATAGTAATACTCACCTTTTATTAAACAGTATATGTGCCGATAATTTAATTATTTAGTTTAGCATGAAAATAAAAGAGTTGCTTAAGATATCCGGAGAAGACAGGACTATGTCAAGGAAAAAAAATCAACAAATGTAAATCTTTAGTCGGCTGAGGAGAGGGAACTCAGGGAAGGTGGATGATGCTTATCTATATTTATATTGAGGATGTTCTATCATATTTACACTACAAAAAAATTACGGGATTGACTCGAATTTAGCTTCAAACTGTTTTTTGCACGAATTTGGCAGAAGAGAGAAATGAATAGAACCAAAAATTCATTGCCTTAGATGGAATTTTGCAAAGGTTTTTTTAAACAAACAAAAAACGATAGTTGGTAAAGTCGAGTGGGACAGAGAGAGTATAATTATTCAGTGTCATGTACTACGTGTGTGATATGTCATACATACTCTGCTCTATCTCTTGTTACTTTCCGAACGTACCCACATACGACACATGTATATATGGAGTGATTCAAGTAAAAGGTAATCTTTGCTTGACACCATAAAACACAATAAAAAATGTTGGCATCTCGGAAGCGTATACAGTACAGCCGGCTGTACGGTGATCACCGTACAACCGGTGGCATTTTTGTAATTTACATGAAATTCGCGTCTTGTACTAAATGAGCATTAAAACACATCTAATGGGCGTGAAACATATTTTGTTGAGCATTAGAAGCATAACAATGAGCATCGTGATCTCTGCTTCATCTCTTCAAATTTACTTTCTTTTCCTTATTTTTTTTCTTTATAAAAACTGATTAATTATATCTATAATCAACTCTTATGAAGTTCAGTATGCAAATTTAATGCAATATGATACTTTTGAAATATGCATTGTTATGCCATTTTACAAATGAGCATAGCATGAATACCCGTTGAGCATAAAGACGTTTTCATTGAGCATTAACTTGAAATTATAAGCATAAGTGATTTTCATTATGTGATTGTGATGGTCATCATGTCTACTCTTTTGAGTATTAAGGTCTAACAATGAGCACCAGTGATTTGTGCGTCATATCTTCTAATTCAATTTCTTTTTATTATTTTTTCTTTTATTATTTTAATATCTGAATCCAATATAGTATGATGCATTGATGCGTTTGAAATGTGAAACATTTTTAAATGAGCATAAAACAGTATAAAATGAGCATACGTAACTTACAAAATGAGTATCAAAAGATTTAAAAACTCATTTGTCTGTGCTCATTCATTTGGACGTTATACTCATTTGAGTTGAACATAAAACTCATTTTGAAGTGTGCATGAATATGACATTTTAAAATGAGTACTGCATTAATATCAAATGAGTATACATAAATTACGAAATGAGCATTAAAAAATTCATTTGAAATGTCTACGGTGCTCATAATTTCATTTGTTAAGACTCATTTTTATGATATCCTATATAACAGCTTTAATATTAATAAAATATTGTCATAAGGGATTTGTGGATGTCAGGTGGTTGTAGTTGGAGTTTATAATTGCAAAAAGGAAAAGGATGTAAGGATGGTTAGTGAGGTTGAGAAATTTATAAAAAGAAATTGTGGCAAGTCAGAAATTAGCAGAGAGGGGAAATAGGCTAATCGGTGAGGAATAGGAATCGCTCGCACAGGAAGAGCCGTCTCTCTCTGCGACGGCCAAGCATCTCAGTCCTGAGTTGCACTTGGAAGCTTGGCTATCGGCGATTTGCGATCTACGTTTGTGAGTTGCACCAGACTTTCGATCTTTCGTCCCTCTTCGTCGGTGAGTTGCAGGGATGAATTGCAGGTTTAATTACAAAAATACCCGGCTGTACGGTGAGCACCGTACAGCCGGCCGTACAATGTAATTTACGTTGGCATCTCACTTCGGATATAGAGCCGGTATATATCTCTTTCTATACTTCGTAATTTCGTATATCTTTTTCTTTCCAATCGATATCTCATCTCATCCCACCTTTTATTTGCTTTTGGTGTCGCTCTTCCTCTCTTATGCAAATGGACCTCTATAATACTAACGATACTTTAATTGCACTATTCGAAACCAAATGGTATCAATTTACACACATTAAATGAGATCAGATCAAACCATACTTCAACAATTGTACAAATTGAACAGGCATCTATCACATTAGATGAAACTAAATCAGACCAAATCAGAAATATTCATAAAATTCTAGTCCAAATAAAAGTATCCCTAAAGAGTAGTCGAATGCCTCTCAAAGTGGCATTATGACAATAGACCGTATTTCTCACAAAATTTAATGTTCAAAGGGCCCAATATATGGTTTACCTTTTTTTATCCGGCCTCGAGCCTCATAACTCATAAGTGATTAAATCGTGAATACTCCTCTACCGTTTTGTTGGATCAGAGTGTGAGATTGCTTGGGATGGGCATTCCAGTTTTTGGCTAGAAGATTTGGACTCTGTCTCTTCAAAGTTCAAAGACAAGCACCCGTACATCCATAGACCATAGTGCTCTATTTGGGTTGATTGATCTAAAACCGTTAAAAACTCGGGTGTTTTACCAAAATACGGGAATTCTCAACATCATTTGCCAAAACACGGGAAAGAGTTTAGGGTTTTTAAAAAAGCGAAGGTCGGATACACCAATTCCGACCAGAGATAGGAAAAACTAGGATGTGCTCCTGTCGGATACACCACTTCCGACTAGTTTTTTTTTTCTTTTTCAAATTCTTTTTGATGAAGTGCATGTGGTTTGGATGGTTTTTTTATTAAATAAAGTTAGTTTTTTGAATGAACTTCCGAATAAAGTTTTTGCAATTTTTAAAATGAAAAATATACATTTTGATTTTTGTAGTAACAAAACATTGATTACTTTATATATTTTTTAATTCATTTTAATTGTTAATTAAATTCATAAAATGAAGTACAAATTTCATTTGTTTAATGGAAGTGAACAAAACAAATGTAGTTTTTAATGTAATTTATTAATAAATAGATATTTCGTGCATACAATAATAAATTTAATACTACATCTAACGTTGCTTGCTCGGCCCTGGCATGTCACCGCCGCCAGTGTTCCAAAACCCCGGTGTGTCTTCAAAAGTGGAAAAATATGCATTTGACTATGTAGAGTACTGATAAGAACCATAATACAGCGGTGGTTCAAAAATTGTGAAATCTTGATGCGAAGAGAATTGTGATTCCCCACCCCCACCTTCATATTCAGCTGCATCACCCTCTTCCTCGTTTCCACTGTCACCAGCATATTCATCTCTATCTTCATCAACGTGACCATGTGTGCGATCACAGCTGGGAGCATCTATTCGTCGATCAGGCGTAAGACGAGGGACGGGAGCGGGCTCATCTTGTGCATTTGGGTAAAGAAAAACACCCTGGTGGAGCATCATTTCATCACCTACATCCATGGCCAACCGCTCAAGCCGTTCTTTAATGTTTTCATAACCCGCCGCCTGGTTCGCGAGCTCATACACATCGTGAAAGCCCTGCTTTTGCATAAAAATGTAACAAGTATAAATAATATGACACAAAATATGTTAATGAATATGGTATGTATTCAATAACTTACCATAAGCCCCCAATCACGTGCTGTCGGGGTGTATCGTGTCGCCGGCGCAACGTGAGAAGGGTTCCCGACACGTATCATCCCATGCCGCGAGTACCATTTTGGTACCTATCAGTCGCTACCTTTGTTGTTCTTAATCCAGCAGGTATACACTATTCTTTCGGTTTGCCTACATTGTCAAGACAGATGTTGATACGGCAGAACGACTAGTGTGATGATCATTACCCTTCTTAGCGTCTTGTGGAATATCTGACATTATATAGTACTGTTGAAGAAATCGATCAGGGTAATGCCTTTCAGCTATATTGCAAAATATGAGCATCCCCTCGTATGCCCAAAGCTAGATGTCATCAACGCAGATATGTGGGAGTGTGTTGAACGGGTAGGGAAAGAAGTCAAACTGTAAATAGTAAATTTATAAGATTTTACTTTAAGTTTAACAAATGTAAAACAATGTGCACATAAAATTGAATAGTACGGTTGAAGTATAAATTCCGAGTACTACCTGACTCTCACTCATGCGATTAAAAAGGTCCCGGTACAAGCGCACACAGTGTCTTGGGGCATTCTTGTATGACTTGGGGACGATCCACCTACATTTGTTGATTACCAATATGAAGTTAAAAAATGAAACCACATAAAAAGTATTCTCAATTATTACGATCTAATTGCAACATACCGACACCCATATGGAAGATGTTGATGTTGAATGACCTGGTGTAATTCTGGTAGGCACGGCGTGCCTGTAGGCAAAATGTGTACCGAGTTTCTGTTTTCGGTCTTTTTTGTCCCAAACCCGCCCGATTCGACCCTGGGGTGGCCCGCACCCAATCTCCATGACTTATAACATCAATTTATGGACTAAACATGGACAAAATACAATTATGAAAGAGGTAATACCTGCAAAAGAATCCGGGTTAGCTCGAGCATCCGCCTCCGTCATCGCATAAACTCTAGCTTGAGTTCTTCCCTGATTCACGGACGGCGCATTGTTCGTGCTCGCTCCCCCTTGGCCCGCACTAGCATGAGATGCTCCAGCTTGGTTCCTACTCGCCGTGGTAACGCCACTTGGTCCTGACCCCCGGTTCCCACCAAGTTGAGGGCAGTTTGGCTTAATATGCCCCGTATCTCCACATTGGTAGCACCGAGGGGGGTCACGACACTTACCCCGTGGTTCCTGTATTTTTCGGACTGTTTTAAATATATTTTATTTTATCGGGTCGAATAAAATATATTATGTGTTCTTAATCATTATGACATCTAGAATGAATATACATTCCCCAACTTTAATTTATTAGTCTCCGAAATTCATTCCGGGTTGTTATCTGTTAAATTACCAATAGCGGTATTTGGGCCTCTTTTGACCAATCGGTCAACTCCGGGCCTTTCCATGGCCCAAATGAAGTATCCACCACCATATGAATATTATCTAAATCAAGATGAATAAAAATATATGGTCTCGGGAATGTCGGGCGGCCCCCGCTCCCGGTGTGGGCCCCACGTGGGAATTCACTATTCACGCAAAAGAATTAATAAAAATTCAGAACTTCGTATATTCATTAACCATTCCATAAGGTTCAATACATTATTTACTTAAAAGTAAATACATTTGGGGACGGTGTTACATCATCTAACTAATTATTACATGATAGTTAACTAATCGAAAATATCATCTACAAATATTTAACTAATTTAAACTTTTAACTATTGAAGTTGGAGTGAGTTGGCCGGATGTATAATTTCAAAAAAAAAAAAAAATCTGTAACTAATTGTCGGATTTGCCAATTCCGACATGAGGATGGGCCGAATGTCTAATTTCAAAAACAAAAATCTATACCTTGTCGGATTTCCCAATTCCGACAGGAAGCCCTCACCCTAAACAATGCCCTGCCCCTGGTCGGAACACGGAAATCCGACTCCCGCATTTTGGTAACCTAATTCCAATTCCCGTTTTTTTGGCGTGTCAGACAAAAAAGTCCCGTGTTTTGGTCATTTCCTCTAAAAACTCACCCTCTTTTAAGAAGGTACGGATTTTGTACATATATACTCACCGAAATATGTACTCCGTATGCTTGAGGATATTATTATATTATAAGATTAATGAACATAAAAATATCATACACGAATAATAACGATGTTCCTCTTTTTAATGGACTAAAAAAATTGACAAACTCAATACTATGGCTATGATGATTTGAAGCTTAATACGCACATCTGATTTTTCTTTTAACTCGTGTATGGATTTTTCATTTTTCTTGGCTCAATCATATCATTATTATTGTCAATCTGATATATATAATCACTCCTCAGTAAATCCAACTCCAATCTCTAGCATCCCATCAACCAAGCTACTTGTACCATTTGTATTTGAAAGTGTCTAAGATTACAAGGGTATGTGCACTAAATGGCCGAATGATTGTCACTATAAATGAATAGGAATTGCTCTAAACTCAAGGAAAAGTCTAATGTGTACTAGTATATGCTAATACAATACTCCGTATACTAAATAGTAGCGACTAATTCATATATCCACCACCCAACCAACTACTTAAGTAATTCATTTGGAGTATATAGAAGCATGTTGCGTGGTTGCTATCAATCTTAAGTACGTCTTGCTTTAATTTTATTATTTGATGAGGCAGAAATCTAACAATTTGAGAAATTGCTCTAAATAGAAGTAAAAACATTTTGAAATTCCAAAATAAGAGTATCATGTTTTTTATTCCCTGAATAGGAGTAATCTGTCAAGTTTGAAAAAAAAATGTCATGTTAAAAGCCTTATAATGTCAAACATGACAGAAATTTACTCCTATTAAGGTAATAAAAAACATGATACTCCTATTTTGGAATTTCTAAACGTTTTTACTGCTATTTAGGGAATTCTCTCTAACAATTTCTCCACTATCGTTCATTAAAAATAGAATTAATTCAACCAAAATATTTTATTATGCCTTGATTACATGGGTGGAAGTAGTCAGGTAGGGTGGTTTGATCAATTGATCGAGTGACCAGTCCCCGGTCTATCAAAATTTGACTATCATTTGTATTTTATGTATAAAAATTTATAGATAAAACGGACATATGTTACATACTGTGAGTATGTCGCGCGTCGTGGTCATTGTGGTTTTACGATTGAACATAGTCCAAATTCAAATTGTAGCCACTTAATTTAAAAAAAAGGTCACACTTTGTCTATTGTTCTATGTATGTTCTAAGAACGGTCAAATGGCTATGCAGTTGGACCAACGAGGATTAAAGCCTAACGTACTTGACCTCATTCTTCCATCCGGTAAAGTACCATTGGTACGACTCCCTTCTAGTTTCGCTCGGTCCAAAGCTTATGTGTATCATGACCTGTCCTAGGTTAGGTTGGTGCGGTTGGGCCGCTCAACCCAATAGCTCAACACATGTCCTTAACTTCTGATGTTTCGAACATTGGACGAACATGTGAAAGTAATATCGTGTGGATACCTCATGTGTCTATATGTCTATCGTGAGGTGCATGATACGGTAATAGGGCATCACGATTGGATGACATTAGTGGTTGTAGGGTTCAAGGTGCGTGATTATGATGACAACGCTCTCAAGTACCATTCTCCTTTTTCATTGTTCCTCTCCCTCTCCTCTTTCCCCGAAAGTCTCCGTAGGTCACTCCAGCATAAGTATCACATTTAAATATCTTAAAATTATAGTAAATCTAAAATTAAATATTAATCTTCTAGAATTAAGAATTAAGAATTAAGAATTAAAAATTACTTAATGATTAATTAATAAATAAATTAGCATTTTTAAAAAGATCAGTTCGTACAACCCGATTTGATTTGTAGAGGTCAAAACCATAACCAAAACCAAACAACAACATTTTGTTTATTTTTTAAATTCAATTTCGGTTTTCTTGTGGTTCGATCTATTTTGCTAGCAAATCAATTTTATCAATTAGTGAACTAGATAATCTTTGAAAAAGAAATGAGAAATTTACCTTAATGTCTGTGAAAAGATAATACTAGAACAAATTAAATATTTGATTAGCTTGGATATCTTTTTTAAGCAAACATGTACTGATGTACATTTGAGGAAGTCTAATAAGATATTTGAAATTAAAATAAAATCATTCCAATAATCCAATATACACCACAACATAACACACATGAACGCATAAATTTAATTAATTTCTTATAGGAGGGCACGATTCAAAACAGGATTGGACAGAAAATAGGTGAATACTTTTATTCGGATCAGGATCGTTTTTCAATGTCCGAAACCAAATCAACCTGGATGACTGGATCTAGGTCTGATTCCGGTGAAACTTGTTTTATAAATAAATCTTTGTACTATAATGTAATTGTAATATGGAGTATTATTATTATGCTTTATACTCCCTACATCCCATAAAATTCTTCCCAATTTGACTTGGATCGAAGTTTAAGAAAGTAGAAATAAAATGAACACGTATAATTATGCTTGAGTAAGAAAATGGTAAATGAACGTTAGCCATACAAACTTTGTAAAAACAGTAATGGAAGAATTTTTTAGGACATCCCCAAAAGGTGAATGACAATAATTTTAAGGGATGGAAGGAGTATTTTGTAATATGGTAATATATTGTATTTTAGTATAATAATATAATTAAATAATACTTGTATTATCAATATAAAGTATAACACAATGTAAAAGAGAAACGAACAACCAGGAACTGATATATCGCATACCGATCATGGATGGGGGAGCTCAGAATTGGACGGTCCAAAATCAGACCGAAACCAGAATTGGATGGCCCAAATCAACCCATAGTCTACTGTCATGAAAATATTGCTGAAAGTCAAAATCTTCCATAATGAACAAGTAAACCTTATAGAGCAAGAGGTCAAATGCAAATCCCCAACCATGTACGGAGTACAATTCAGAATTTCAGATATTCATCAAATGTGAGGATGATTATGCTTTATTCAAGGAAGTATTGCGCGTTAGCGCTTATGATGTGTATCTGTCCACTCGAGTTATTATTCGATTATACATTAAGCTATAATACACAATACATGGTATCACATCAAACTACTGTAATTATTTCTAACCTGCAAAAAGAACTTGAAAAATGGAGGTGATAGGCCGCAGATTATCAACCCATGCTTATACGGTCATTTAGATGAACCATTTCATTTGCGCCCACCTATCAAACTTTGAGTGTTTGCCCCATACAAGCTGGTGGAAGATGAATTACCCGTCATTGTGGTCGTCTTAAATGGTTGATCCCCGTTACCACTCAAAACATTCAAATCTTCAAATAGCCTATATGACGGAACAAAAGCTTGCTTTTGCCCAGCAGATGAGGAACTTACACCAACTTGTGCAATCCCATTATTGTTTCCCCAAGCTGGGAAGGCATTTGAAGATGAGGAAAATGATGCATATGAGTTGCTATAATAACCGGGCGTTGGAGCATAGTGTTGAGAGGTATACCCATAGTACTGTGGGTACTGGGGCTGTGGCTGTAATTCATAATAATACTGAGGTTGTTGTGGATATTGTGGTGGAGAATACGTCTGAATTTGAGGCTGCATTTGCGGTTGAGGTTGAGCAGCCCAAGTGGCTATGTAATTGTTCTGATGCCCTCCCAGGTAAGAATCAACCAAGGGCGTCTCATTTATTGTGTCTTGTGTTTCAGGAATGGGCTCTGTGGAGGTGTTTGATGATAAGGTGATGGTTAATAGGTCGATCATGTCTTGTTCTTTTGTGCGGACAGGGGGGGTCGCGAAGAACCAATGCATTGTTCACACTTGGAGGATCTGACAGCTCTCCTT